CAAGTCTGTGCTGGCTGTATGTTGTCCAGCAAATGACAGAGGGACATAAGAGCGACAGTATTGCACTAGAACAAAAGCCTATTTTGCGTTCTGACACGAAGCCACTGCGACCTTGAATTGCAGTCTTACGGTGTCGGTATCTTTATTGGTTCGTTCCTCTGATGTTCGTGCACGCAAACAGACCCACACACACACACACACCCGCACACATGCACACAAAGAGAGATGGAGCCACAGGTATGCGTCTGTACGTGCGCCTTTGCAATCTGTTTATATTAATTTGCACCTGTGCAGGAGCAGATGTAACACAAAAGCAGTGCAAAGACAAGATGTTGAAGACTTCCAGGTGTTTGTGTGGAACCTGCGCTAAGGTGCCTGGGGGCCAGGAGCTCTGCGGCTTTTTGCGGGCGTGGATTCTCGGATGTTAGCTCGAGATAGCTTTTAAGGAGCTGGTCTAGGGATGAGCCTGACGAAGAGCTTCATGGTACTTCTTCTGGGTTACGGCCTGTCGAGTAAGCCCATGCTTCACACCTCGCCATGCTTGGTAGCTAAGGTCCAGCGAGCTCGACTGAAGCTAAAGGCCATTATAACAAGCCACTATTCACAGTGCTTATAATCTCGTCAACTATTGCCGTTGTCAGTCTTCTCATCAACACCACAATCAGCAACATCCTTTTGATCTTTCTCGTGCTGATTCTCACCGCTTGTCAACATTCGCCTCCCTGTCCGTGAACTTTCAACCCTCATCAAACACAGTGGCTTCTCTGGTCCAAAGCCCGAAACCCCAAGTCGAAGAACCCTGAAAAAACCAGCTCCAAACGCTTGAATCCCGCATCTGGATTGTCTTTTCAGGCTTGCTTAGCAAGTCTCACGCGGTGCGACAAGGGAACACTTCGGTCGAGTCCGGAATCGCAGCCACTGGGCTACTCACGACAGTAATTGAAGGGCGATCATGAGCATGTCAGGTCATATTCGCTATGCAGCTTGTCCCGGTTGCTGACACGAGTAACCTGTGTTGGGAAATGTAGTGCAAACCAGTACCAGTACCAGTAGTAGTCGTCGTCGTAGTAGTAGTAGTAGTGGTAGTAGTAATAGGAGTAGTGGCAGTAAATATAATTTTCATTAGTACTAGTTGGGGTAATCGCCGTCCTCGTAGTCATAGTAGTCGGGGTAATGGTAGTAGCCGTAGTAGTGGTAGTAGTAGTAGTAGTAGTAGTAGTAGGAAGAAGAATAATAATGTTAGTAGAAGCAGCAGTTGTAGTAGTGGTAGTGGTAGTGGTAGTGGTAGTGGTAGTGGTAGTGGTAGTGGTAGTGGTAGTGGTAGTGGTAGGTAGGTGGTGGTAGTAGTAGAAGCAGTAGTAGTAGTAGTAGTAGTAGTAGTAGTAGTAGAAGTAGAAGTACTGTAGTAGTAGTAGTAGTAATGGTAGTAGTAGTAGTAGTAGTAGTAGTAGTAGTCGCAGGAATGGTAGTAGTAGTAGTCGTCGTCGTGGTGGTGGTGGTGGTAGTAGTAGTAGTAGTAGTGGTAGTGGTAGTAGTAGTAGTAGTAGCGGTAGTAGCAGTAGTAGCAGGAGAAGTAGGAGAGGCAGCAGTAGTAGTAGTAGTAGTAGTAGTAGTAGTAATAGTAGTAGTAGTAGTAGTAGTAGTAGTAGTAGCAGTAGTAGCAATAGGAATAGTAGTAGCAGTGGTAGCAGTGGTAGGAGTAGTAGAAGAAGTAGGAGGAGTGGGAGTAGCTGTCGTAGTCGTTGTAGTGATAGTGGTACTTGTAGTTGTAGTACTCCTAGTCGTACTCGTCGTCGTAGTAGTGTAGTAGTTAGTAGCAGTAGTAGCAATAGCAACCGGCAGTTTTTGTAGTAGTAGTAGTAGTAGCAGCAGTAGTAGCAATAGGAATAGTAGTAGCAGTGGTCGCAGTGGTAGGAGTAGTAGAAGAAGTAGGAGTAGGAGTGGGAGTAGCTGTCGTAGTCGTTGTAGTGATAGTGGTACTTGTAGTTGTAGTACTCCTAGTCGTACTCGTCGTCGTAGTAGTGTGGTAGTTAGTAGCAGTAGTAGCAATAGCAACTGGCAGTTTTTTGTAGTAGTAGTAGAAGTAGTAGTCGTCGTCGTCGTCGTAGTAGTCGTAGTAGCAGTGGAAGTGGTTGTTGTTGCAGTAGCAGTAGCAGAGCCAGCAGCAGTAGCAGCAGCAGCAGCAGCAGTAGTGGCAATGGCAGTGGCAGTTGCAGTAGAAGGAGCAGCAGGAGTGAGAGTGGTGGTGGTAGCGGTGGTAGTAGTAGTCGTAGTGTAATAGCGGTCGTAGCTGTAGAACTACTAGTTATTATTCCTACTACTGTTTTTTGTCACTTTCTACTACTGTTTTTAGTAATAGTAACAGGAGTAGTAGTAGTAGTAGTAGTAGTCGTCGTCGTCGTAGTCGTGGTGGTAGTGGTAGTGGTAATGGTACTGCTAGTGGTGGTGGTAGTGGTAGTGCCAGTAGTGTCGGCGGTAGTGGCGTCTGCTGTTGTTTTTGTTGTTGGTGTTGTTGGGGGTTTTGACTACTCCTTCGGGTTGGAAAGGGTGGCAGAGGGACTTTTCATGGGCAGCCCTTCCAGCCTGACGAGTCGCAAAGCTTGCAATGCACGGTCTCAATCAACATGTGCCCTCCGAGCCCTTCGCGAATACGTACTAAAAGCATGCGACCAACAAGACGGATGCGATTCAATTTGTTAATATACTTGCACATCGTATGACTCTATGAGGGGCTGCGTGCTATGATCCTCGCCATTGACAGAACCAATCAGCGCGCTTGTTCGAGGGCTTTCGGAGGGCTGGCGGAGACGATTGATTGCCGGCGATGCGCAACTCACAATGCCTGAATGACTTGCGATATGAATATGAACAGTGCCACTTCCACTAGGAGATCAACGGCTGGTGCTGCGCTGGCAGCAAAGCTATAAGTTGTCTTGCCAGCCAGAGCAGGGCAAGTCCTGTCTGGGACTACCGACTACCCGAAGATTGTAGATGTGGACGATGCGCATAATTCATAGACTGTTAGTTACTGTTAGCTCATCTTAAACCGAGGGCAGTCGTTCCAGTGGACGGTTGTGTCCAGTGTAGACAGGCCCCAAACAATGCAGGACCATACAGCAAACGCAGGCACCTGGTTCCGGCCAGCGGGCACGGGGATCATCATGACGAAGAGACTCCAAGAGACCACCTCGACTCTGTAGGGAGACCACGGGCACGAGACCACCAGGACCCCATGCAATGGCGAGATTCGGAGACGTGAGCAACATCGGGACTGTGTGAATGATGGGGCATGAACCCGAAATATGCACTGCACCACAGGGGAAGCTTCTCGGGGCCGCCTGTCTCGCACTCACACTGCCCAGTACCTCTTACCACGAACCTAAGAACCCCAGAGTGTGTACCTCGCTTTGGTGAGAAATTAGACTCTCATCGCAACATATCGACTCGGATTCAAGCATTGTCACGCACATATACATCCCAGATATGCCACTTTGGCTCAGGAAAACACAAGGAACATGAAAGTCCCCCGGCGTAAAGCCACGTTGGTTGTGCTTCTAACTCATGAATTGAAGTTCTAGTCGGGTCGTAAACTTCGCGCACCAGCTTACTAGGTGAAGGCAACTGCTGAGGCAGCTAGAAGCAGAACCTTGCGGAGAAGCCGTGCAGGGTAGTTAGTTCGCGTTACCTCGACGATCGTCTCCCCTGCAGAAAAAAGTTCATGGTACAGCGCAGCGATTTCGCTGCAGCTCGGGGCAAGAAAGGCAAATGCCTGAGCTCTTGAACGCATTCCGGTGTGTCTCGCAGCAAAGCGTAGACCCTTCCGACAACAAACAACCCTTGTGTAAGTACGAAATTCCTCGAAAGGCTCCCTACCTGATCTGAAAGCGCCACGTAGGGGATGAGGCATGGGCTCGCTGGTAAGCCGGAACATCGCTAGAGCCTCAAACTGGCCATCCGGCAGGGATTGCGCATCCGCCGATTTGCAGCATGGCGGGCTGAGAATGCAGCCCTTTTTCAAAAAGAAGGTGCTGCCCAGGATCAACAGTGGTCCCGATGCATGGA